CATTTTCTAATTTGCAGAGAGAATTTCCCAAGTGGATGGAAATCTTCATTATGATTGGATCCTTTATTTTTTCAAGCTCTTTCAGCAAAGCTTAATATTCTTTTTGGAACATCCAAATCCTCCTCTTCTTTTTTTAAGTTGGTCTCATCATAACACTTCTTTACCATACGTCAAATTCCAGTGGGAGCCTTCTGTTCATGTCTGATGGCAGAATTTGACTTTCTAAGAATAGCCTCAGTCTTAGTTTTCTTGTAAAAGATACATATAACAAAATGTATTAAAATTACATTAAAAACCCACATTAAAAGAACACTAAAGTTGCAAATGCCAGAATGAAGGGTGTCTGTGTAACTGTACTTTGGTCCTCTTGTGTACATACATTATGATACAGTCTAGTTGCATGATCCCATGCTATGTTTTCCACAGGACCCCTGCCTCATTCAGTGCACAGGATGGAAAGTGCTTATTTATTCAATATTTCTTTTAATCCTCCTCCTCATTCAATGTCTAGTAGCCGCAGGCTATATTTATTGCATACCATTTAAATCCTGCACCAACACAAAATTATTAATTTCCTCAAGGGCTTTTCTATTACATTTAATCAATGTCATATCTAGTGTTTCACAAACAATCATGAATTTATCTTCATAATATCCCTGTGACATAAGGTGGTATTATTGCCATTTTGCAGATGGAGAAAAAGCACAGAGATTAACGCCAAAATTGTCAAACATGTTGACTAATTTTTGGTGCCCAATTTGAGGAATCTTGTGCTTGATTTTTTTTTTTCAGAGTACTTAGCATTTTTATAGCAGTTTATCTGTTCAAAGCACAGCTTCCACTGACTTCATTTGCAGCTGGAAGTGCTCAGTTCTTCTGCAAATCAGACCTCAGGATCTCTAGTTGGGCACCGAGAAAATGAGGAACACACAGTTAGTGACCGTGTGTAAAAAGGTTGGTTTAAAAGACTTGCCTAGCATCACATATGAGTTCTATGGCAGAGACAGGGATAGAATCCAATTCTCCAGGGTAGCATTCAGCTGCCTTAACCACAAGACTCTCCTTTCTTTTCCTGCAACCCCCTGCCTCTTTCATTACACACCTTCCAACTTCTGCAGCAAATGAGGGAGGGGTCCTCCAGGCACACTACAGCTTCACACATACACCAACTCCCTTCATTCCCTGAGCCTAACCCATCCTGTGCACTGAATGAGGCTGGGTCCTGTGAGAAATATAGTATGTGATTACATAATTGTATCCGAATGGATGCACGCCAGGGGGCAGAATTAAGATTGCACAGGAAACCTTAATTCTGGCAGCTCCTAACTTTTTTGAGCACTTGATTTTGAAACCTTATTGTTCTTTTAAAGTAGTTTTTATTCTATGTAATTTCCTAACGTTTGAATAAAACCAAACTGCAAAATCAGAATTTAGATCATATAGAATCACATGGGTCATTGGCATGGGACCTTTGGATCCACAGCCCAGATTTTCACCACTTTAATGGAGTATGTGGTAGCAGTAGTCGGCTATTATCCTCTATGTGGACCAGCCACTAGACACATAGGCCCAGATTCTCAAAATTATTTAGGCTCCTAACTTCCACTGGAATCAATGAAATGTGGGAGCCTAAATATCTTTGACGGTCTGGACCACAGTTTGCTAGTGGGTTTCACACCTATTTGCTGACAGCACAGGAATGCTGAACTCAGGACTCCTGGGTTCAGGTCTAGATTCTGAAGGGGAGTGTGTTCAAATGGTTATAGACCTTGCTGCCCCTGTCCACCCCAATGCCCCATTCCTACCCCCCTCTGCTTATCTTCCCAGTTTCCCTCACTCCTTTCCATTCAAGTTAGTCTACATCCTCCAACTCTTCTTTGTTGCCTGGGTGCCAGTAAGCAGAACACTGAGAGTGCAAAGGGAAAATAGTCCCCCTGCTCTCAGTTCCAGTGCCTGATGCCACAGTGGCCCCTGGCAACCAGATGAAGTGGTTGCAGAAAAAAGTCCTGGTCAGCCCCAGCAGAGCTATGACAGAGCATGCTCAGCTGCAGCCTTGCCAATACCCACAATTTGATTATTTTAAAGACCCAGCTACTGGAGTCAGCTTATTACCTGAAAAATCTCAGATTTCATTAAAATAAAAAAGTAAGTTTCTAGTCCTCATGTTTCCAAAGAAAACCATGAAACTATGAACCTTAAATGATCCAATACCAGAAGACAAAAGGAACAAAATATATTATTTTAAAAATCTCATAATTTTTAAGCCAATGTCATGATTTTTGAGGGGCTTGACCTGTGTTTTTTTTTTTTTTTTTTTAAACGCTGAGGGTTGGCAATACTCTGCAGGGATGGCACATGCTCAGTTCGGCTGGCAGACAGGAACTCTGGGGATTGAAGAAGTCCAGCACAGAAGGAACCGTCAGAAAATAATGCTGCCAGCCTCTAAAATACATCTATTGAGTATGTGTGAACTGTGTTTTTTTTTTTTATTTTTCCAGAGGCTTATAACTTAACAGGGAAATCACAAGGACATCAAAAAGCACATCCTTGATACCAGAGTGACTTCCTGTCAAATTTCACATCTCTGCTCCAAAGCATGGAAGCACGGCAGCTGCAAGAATTTTTTAATATGGGCAAAACAACATATTTTCCCCTAACCTAACAGCTGACCTGTTTTGATAGAAACTTTCCCAAAAAAGTCAGCCTAAGGCAGACACTCACTGTGGACAATTTTAGCCCAAATGGTAAGGTTCAGCAGTTAGAAACAACTGAAAATAGATTCTTATCATGGAAAATGTTAGACAACCTTAACTATAGATATCGCTACCACTGTCACCTATAAATAAAGTCCATTTGTCACATGTCCACCCAATGTGACACATTATTTATATAGCTTAATATTATATGGACCAAATGTAACTGCATTGGATTAGGCCCATTGTGTATTTCTGAAATGGTTTGCAAACAAGAAAGCCAAACTACTTGGTAACATCTGTATGTCAATGACTTCTCTGTTATAGTTTCCTTATTTGTTGTATATTATTAACCACATCTGCTTTCTCTCCATATAAATAAAGTACTTCCCTATAATTTTCTCTAGAGGGCAGGAAGCAATTTATGTCCTGAGTCACATGTTCCTGACCAGGCTTCTAAAATGGAGCAAAGGCCTTGGGTAGACCAAGGTCTTTCACTGGCTCTCCTAGACGTCAGCTCCTGACATTTCCAGCCTCTTCAAATATGAGGAACTCGTTCTAGCCTTCCTGGAGCTATGTAGAGAATGAGGTAACATCAAATTAAGTTTTCAAGTGCACAGCAAGAAGCCTGCCAGCGGTTATTACTGAAGCCGTGGTGAAACCATTACATGGAAATATTACCAGTGTGCCCCACTACTGCGGGGTCCAGACAATGGATCACATGGCTAGCAGCAGCTAAGAGAAGGGAACCTTATTTGCAGAGGACTCTGCTTAAAGTGGAACTCAGTAGATTTTTTGGGAAAGTCTATTTTAGTGGTTTCGGCAAAACTTGTACATTTGAGACAATTTCTACATTTTTTTCATGTAATTCCTCCTCAGCTGACACCCAAAGGGCCAACGCATTGGGCCTCCCAGACAAGGTAGACAGATTCATGCTAGCATGCTAAACATAGCAGTGCGGACGTTGCTGCATGGCCAGACACTTGGGCTAGCAACCTGAGCTCTGACCAGGCGGCCAGGTGGGTCCTGAATGTGGCTGGGGCTCTAGATGCTATTATAATACACCTCTACATCGATATAACGCTGTCCTCAGGAGCCAAAAAATCTTACTGCGTTATAGGTGAAACCGCGTTATATCGAACTTGCTTTGATCCACCGGAGTGCGCAGACCCGCCCCCCCGGAGCACTGCTTTACCGCGTTATATCCAAATTCGTGTTATATCGGGTCGCGTTATATCGGGGTAGAGGTGTACCAGTAATAATAGCATCCAGTCATAGATGAGCATACTGAGACACAGAGGTTATGTCTACACTGCAGCTGGAAGTGAGCCTTCTAGCCCTGGTAGACTGACCTACACTAGCTTTACGTGAGCTAATGAACTAAAAATAGCTGTGTGGATGCTGTGGCACCAGCAGAGACTCAGGCTATCCCCCACAGCTCAGACCCAGGCAGTTGGGTGGGCTTAAGAGCCCAAGTTTCCATTGGTGCTGCAACATTTTTAGCATGGTAGCTTGAACCCTGCTAGTACAAGTCTGTCTAGCCAGGATGGGAGACTTGCTCCCAGCTGTAGTGTAGACATACCCAGAGATGTTAAGTGATTTGCGAAGTTGGGAGCAGAGCCCAGGATTCCTGACCCTGTGTCCTTCTTCAAATACCAGATCACACTTCCTACTCTCATCTGAAAGTCAAATCCCACATTGGTGGCTACTTCCCTGTCTGTGCAGTTAACGCTGCAACTGGGCTACAGGAAACCCACTGACATAAAATCACACTTCTGTCTGCAAATACATTACCTGCCATTGTTACAAACACCTAAGATAAAAATGATTTTGAGAGAGAGAGAGACATTATTTCTTTTTTATTTCATTTGTGTACTTTGTAGATTGGCAGGACTTTGTGTAAAGTCTGCCCATTGCTCAGTTGTTGAGGTGCAAAAGGCCCATGCAAACAGGGAGGAGAAAAACATTTTTAAAAAACAGAGAAATGTGACTGTAAAACCACAAACAGGCAGGTATAAGGTGGTAGGAACCTGACAGGAAGGTGTAGGTCCTGAAAGTACTTCTAACTTACTCTTTGAAATTGACTATATTTCAAGTTGTTGGTGTCTCTATACTATAATGTACAGTGATGTCTGATTTTACAGACAGTGAAGATTCAAGATCAAGGTGATGTAAAGGGCACCAGCACATTTTAAGACAACACCTACAGAAAGCGATCCTGTAATGTTCATGCAACTTAATGACTATTTAGGAAAGCGCTTATTAAAATGTTACTATTGCTTCAGTTTGGAGATTGATTCCACTCACCTTTCCAAGAGCCATCAGCAAGTGGAAATCGATAGACTCCCTGTATCTTAGGATTTGGAGGATGCCATCCAAGTATACCTGATCCTTACTGAAGCAGCCTAAAGGAATCAGAGTCATGGTATTGTTTTCAGGCTTTTTCAAAGCAATGCCTTTGCCAAAAGTAATTGTACACAAAATTATTTTATTTCCTGCCATTTAGATATTTTTGGCCGAGGACTTGCAAAATTTACCTGACACCCATTGGCTAGAGGATTAAGCCTACGTGAAAGACACTAAGCAAAGGCACTGGCCGTTAGGCAGACTAGCTTGCTGGGAATCTGACAGTGTAAGGCAGGGAGCTGAGCAGCTTTAAAACCCCCGGTCACAGAAATTTGCAGCACTATCATAACAAGCCCTGCCCAGGGCATAAAAAACAAGGGAGGGCAAACTGTGAACCTAAACGTCTTGACAGTGTCTCCTTTAACATCCCTTAAAAATTCCTTTACCAAATCACTTTGAAAGTCCTGAAAAAAAATACTGTTTTTCATCTCAATCATTGTTTTAAATGAAGGATCCTTGCCACTTCATAATATCCATTTTAGAAAACGAAGAGTTTAATTTTTCCACAACCCTTTGCACAAATCCTATCACCTGCCAACAGAGCTGCACAGGCCCCTTATTTTGAACAAAGCTTTTGGAGAATGAAGATGGAATGTGCTCAAACTACATAGGAAACCAACCTGGCTGGGAAGTATCAGTCCACCCCCTCTTGGCTCGTACACAGTAATCCCACCTAGTGTTGGGGTCCTTGACAAATCTCCCCACATCCTGGAAGAGTTGACTGAAGGACATTTGGCTAGCTTGATAGACAGTGTAGTAGAGAAGGGCAGCCCTCCATAGAAAGGGGTCTTTTCGGAACAGGACACTGTGAATACTCGCCAGGCCTTCCTCGGTAGGGTTGATTGGCTTTAACCCAAGCTTTTTACGTCCATTCCAATTGCACCAAGGCTGGCTGTTGTTGTTAATACCTCGAAAATAATGAGTTCCTAAAAGGAAAGAAGCAGGGAGCTTAGAACAGTAACAACCAGTGTCTCAAATAATAGTACAATTAGCTACCACAGGAGCTAACTAAGTTTAGGACCCAACTTCAGGATTCTCACCTATTGGGACAATGGGGGACTGGGAAAGGAGGTAACTTTGGCCTTGAGGACAGTGGAGAAGGTAATCAATGGTAATTAAACGAGTGGAATAGCACTCATCTAAGTGCCAACAGTGCAGGGTGTCCAAAGGGTGATTCCAGCAGAGATTTTCAAAAGGACCTATGGGATTTAGGAGCACACGTCCCATTGAACATCGCTGGAACTTTGTGCTCCTAAATCCCTGCAGGGAGATTTTTCAGAAGTGCACAACCCACCAACATTTCTCTAGTGTAGACAAAGCCTTGCTGTGGATGGGAAGTGGGGAGAACAGAGGAGGGAAGATTCAACATGCACGAGTATTTCTGTCTCCTTGAGGCTGATCATAGAGCATTACTGCAGCTGTAGAGGAGGCTATTGCCCTGTAACCAGAGGTTAGTTATAACGGTGGTGCAGGGCATTCACAGGCATAAAACCCTAAAAGAGTAACTTGGTGAAAGCCATTGGATTTCATCTGCGTTTGGTCTGGTATACTGGGGCAGGTTCACCCAAAACCTAGAAAAAGTTTGAGAAACTTTCTACTATCCTGGGCTAAATGTTTGTAATTACTGTATTCTATGTTATAGAGGTTTTTATACCATGCTCATCACTGTAGTGTCTGAGTGCCTTCCAGCAGTGCATTAAGCACTATGACTACTACACATATGTTGTGTTGTTTGTTCGCTCATCCTCTCCCCAGATAACTCAAAACCAGGGAGCACTTGCACAGATTTGGGGTTCACTGGCAACATTTCTCACATCTACATCTCTCAAGGTACTAGTTGGGTGTTTTAGTTCTACTGTATACTACAATTATAAATAGTCCTTTCTTATGCTTTACCACATCTACAGTAGGAGGGGCCAGAACTTCTTTTGGGTTTGTACAATGCCTAGGACATTGTCAGTGTTACTGAAAACAAATAATAAATAAGAATGCACATATTCTCTCTGGCATGAAGAATTCAAAACATGTGTCCATACCTATTTCGTGCCTCAGCATCCCTTCTAGCCAGTGCTCACGTGCAGTGGAAACATTGATAGTCAGAGTTGGGCGGCCATTCACCACTGTCATTGAGGCACGAGAAAGCAGGTCCTCAGTGAGATGAACTACAATCTAAGGAGAAAGAAAGGCTTGAGGCTTAAAAGAGTTCTTTTCCTTTCCTGCTTTTTGCCGCTTCTATTCTCCCTCTCACTCCCCCAGTGTTCTATCCGGACTCAGTCACATGCCTCTCAAGGCTCTTCCCAACAAGACGCAAATGAGTTTTTGTGTCTCTAGAAAGGTTCTGTTCCCCTGTGCCTGTGTGACGCCTCATTGACTTCAGTGGGACTTTGCATGAACATAAGGGTTCAGACATGCAAACCAGATGGCAGAACTGGAACCTAACTGTCCTACAGGGGAAACAGTGAAACTGACTGAACAAAAAGTGCGGTCAAATGCACTAAGTTAACAAACTGAGAAAAGAGAAAATAATTCTCTTTTAAGTCATTTATTGGAACCTTGCATATTACTAGTAGCAAGAGAAGGTAAATTAAAAAAAAAACCTGACAAATAGGTACTTAAATTGACTGAGCATATATACTCAGTCAATTTAAGTACCTATTTGTCAGGGTTTTTTTTAAAAATTATTATTATATATATATATATATATATATATATACACACACACACACACACACACACTTAAAAATACATTGAAACTAAGATTTATTTAAAAAAAATTCATTTCAAATCTTTAAAGGTCACCTACAGAAGTTGGAAGGCTTAGTATACTATGTTGCTGCACTATGATGCTTAATGGGCCACTTAATACGTAAATCCTATTCTAGTGGATTAAGTGGTACACAGTCCTTGTGTGGACTCTTTCCACAGGAGTAAATTTCACCGTGTGTGTGTGTAATATTCATTCCTGATATTCAGGTAAGACTAGACAAACCAATGAGGTCTACCCGGTAAAATTCAAAATCCAGCATAACTCTCCTGTTTAAACCTAATTCAGCATAAATGTATACAACAGGAACAAGAAATATAGGAAGCAGCAAAAAAAAAAAAAGCTTTGCAATATAAGATGACTGCAAATTAGAGGAGTTTGTGATACAGCATTAGAAAAACCCAGCGCAGGTTGGGGCAGATATACACATAAGTGACTAAATGGGGATGTGCTACTCTACAAGTAACTGAAGGGATAAGGAAGGAGAGTTGTTATTTCAGGTACACCTCCAAGTAATAGAATGAAATTAAGAATGGGAACACATAATTCAAGTAGCAGGAAAACTTCCTGATGAGATCTATTCCACAGTGTAATAATCTCACAAGAGAAGTAGTTGGAAGCCACATTGTTTAGATCATTTAAAACTAGAATGGACAAACCCATTAGAAAATATAATGTAAGGAGCAAGTCTATATTGACAAGGGACGCACTACTAGATAATCTTATAGGTCTTTTCTATCTCTAATTTCTGATTTTGTGATTAAAGGGGAAGCTTTTTCATTGATCCTGTGTGCATCCTACCTCACCAAGGCAGCCTTCTTTCACCATGTATTTCCTGACATGATTCCAAATGCGACTTTTTGGTAGCAGGCTGCCTCCAGTAGCCTGCTCAAACTTTTCATAGCTTCCATATTTCTGCAATGTCCGTTCCATAATATTGACAGACTATAAAAGAAAAATGCATAGCAGACATAAGTGCAATAAGATTACAGCTGCAGACTAGCAATTGTATTACCTCTGTAGCTATGGGACAAATGGTTGGTTTTTTTCCCTTTAACTCTTATGGGATACATTAGTGAACTCCTGTAGTTACATATAAGCTAATACCCTCAGTAATCAACTTCTGTCATCCTCAGAGCCACATTATGAATGCAAATACATTAAGAAAAAGTTGCAGGAACCTGGTTTACTCATATTAGACTCCTATGGACACCATCATGCTCCACACACCTAGTATTAGCTCAGTAAATGGAAACCAATTCCTCTATGACTTTGGGAAAAGTCACTTAAACCCAGATACTCAATGGGAGTTAGGCACCTAAATACCTTTGAGGATCTGGGCCTCTTTGTCTCAATGTCCCCATCTGTAAACCAGAGATGAAAATATGTCCTTTCCTACCTCACAGGGATGATCTGAGGGTTAAGGAGTTATCACTTCTCTCATTCAATGTACAAATGTTAAGAATTATTACAATCTCTCTGTTTATTTTTTTTTATATTTTTTAATTTAGAAATGCTGAATCATGACTGAGCATTCCTGATGATTACTGATATTTTAACCCCTCTGTACAATGGATGCACGTGTTTGGAGAGATACGGGGTGAAGGACTGGGAAATCTGTTCAGTTTTCCCATTTAATTATGGAACTATTTTTCTCGTAAGCACAAGAAAGGTGGCAAACAACACTTGACACACAAACTGATATTAAGTGTATTTATCTAGAAATGCTTATACTTTGTTGCTGAAAACAGAACTGAATATAGATAGCACAGTGTTCAGCCCTGTATGATGGGAACTGAGGTTATTGTGGCTGAAGATCTTATAGGAGAGATGGGGATAGCCTACCCCGATTTATTTTCAAATATGCCATTTAGTGCACTCCAAAGACAATAAAATACTTATGAAGATCAATTTTATGATATCCAGGATATGTCAACTTTAGTAGGGATGATTTAGCAGTAGCAAAGCAGGGAAGAGAACTCCTTCAGAGACAGGATGGCTGAGGAGAATTCAATTTGTTGGGAGAATTTTTACAAGGAGCTCCCAGGAACTCCAGCCAGCCAGTATTGCCAACCACAAATGTTAAAAAATCATGAAATTGACTTAACAATCATGAGATTTAAAAAAAATGGGTTGAGTTCTTTTTATTTCCCTGCTATTTTTGAGCCGTTAGGGTTCATTTGGGTCACATTTTCAAGCTTTTCTCTACAACCATCAGGGCTAAAAATCTCCTTTAAAAAAAAAAAAAAAAAAAAAAAAAAAGCTGATATTCTCTTATGTTCACAAGACTCCCGGAGCTGGAGCTTTCAGACAAATATAAAATATGAGACTTGTTATAAAACGATGAGAGTTGACAATGCTGCACAGGACTGTTTATAGAAAACTACCCATCTAAGATGACGTCACATCATTTCAAATGTATTCCTCCAATATTTCTTATTGCTCCCTTATTTCGGGCCTGATCCTAGTGCCCTCAAATACAGTTAATATGAATGGGATTTCAGGGTCTGCACCATTTTACAGGATTGGGCCTTGAGTAAGTATCTCTGAGGGTAGGACTAGACTGCAGTCACGGGGTGTGATTGTAGTTTGTGTAGACATATCCTGAGCTAGCTTTAATCTAACTCGCTCAGGTCCCAGAGTAGTGAAGCGTAGCAGTGCACACTTCAACGTGGGCTAGCCCCACAAGTAATTACCCATGGTTTCAACTGAAGGGCATGCTGCCACAGCTTCACTGTTCCAGGACCTGGGATAGCTAGATTAAATCTAGCTCGGGTGTGTTGACTCGAGCTGCAATCTTGAAGTGTAGACATAGCCTTAGTTTCTTGCAAAAACGAGATTTTAATTTTTTAATTATGAGAACTGCATCTGCAAACTGTGTTGCTGGTTATAGGCCTGCTCTTTCAAGATGCTGGAACCTCCCTGAAGAAGAGCTGAATTTCCTCCTAACTTCAATGTGAACAGAAGATCTCAGCACCTTCCCTGGGGGAGAGGATCAAAGTGAGAAGGAACCATACTTTACCAATGTTAGTCACATTGCTAAGCCTTAATGTACTACTGGAAGGTACCCAGATGCTACAATGATAAGGTCACTATACGAATTATATAAAATAGATTAGAACAGGACTGAGCCTTACCACATTAATACTGCAAATATAATACCACTTATAATAATGGGAAACACAAGACTTTTTTTAAAATGCTCTGACTCCCAGTATACTGCAATAATAAGGTGACTATGCACACAGTTTGCGACTAGATTATTCTGATATTTGGGGAACTTGGTGGGTAGACTTACTGTCCATAAAATATGAATAATTTAGAAACTTACACAGCTACAGATAGTCTTGTTTTGTTTTAACTAAAACGGAGCAATGCCAAGCAATCATCATTGGAACACACTATAATGTTATGCATGAGACATTCTTTAAGTATTGTAGCTCTTGGCTGAAAGAGAGAGAGAGATTCTCTGAATGCTGAACAAACATTCCACTCCATTTCTGATATTTTCCTATGATCAAGCTTAGAATGCTGCCTCTCACTTACTACAGTATCCAAAGGGCCTCCTGTGAGATCTGAAGGCTCTATTTAACTGTGTCGATCAGCAGCAAAGTTACTAAACTTAGCTCTAAAGAAGCCATTCTCCCTTTTTTATTTTTATACACAGGTTCAGGGGCAAAGGATATATCTGTGTATTACGTGTACAGTAATTAGCATGACCTTTCCTCCCTAACAGACATCTGCACCTGATTTACCATATCAAATTATTTACTGAACTGCTTTATAAGTGTCTTCCCCAGTCCCGGCCCCGGCCCCGGCCCCACAGTGATTTCTCTCTCTGCCGTCTGCCCAGGGCACCCAAAACATACTGCTGGGGAGGGTCGCGTGACCGCTCTTGTGGCTTCCCTTTGCTTCCCCATCAGAAAGTCATTTTTCTGCGGGTAAGCAAAGAAATATGTGGGGGACATAGATTCTGCGCATGCACAGTGGTGCAGAATTCCCCCAGGCGTAATCTAAGCAACATTTAGTTCTTAGTTAATAGCCCAGTTTGTTTATTAGTCAGAGAACCTGTGTGCTTTTTCCAAGTTTTTTTTTTTAAGGCTGAATTATTAACTTGTTCTAGCCATCTTCTGATATTCATTTTAAATGGATGCTTTCCTGTTACTGTGCAGATTTTGATCTGTGCTCTCATGCTTGTATACATCACTTATAAGTAAAATAAGTTTCCTACTTAGTTACAGGAGTACAGTTTACTTTCACTGAATAACCTGAATAATTCAGTACAACAGTTCTTCAGTTTCTCTTATAGCTTACCAGATCTTTTAAGATATTCATGTTACCTATTAGTTGCTATATATATCTGGTTTCACTGAACAATAAATTTAATTTCACTCTTTCATTTAAACAGAATGTCTCCTTTAATATTTTATCCTTTGGCATAGACTTTTCTTCACTGCTTTTTAAACAAGGAAATTCAATGAAGTCTGTTAGGTAAGCACCTGAAATGCTAAGAATTGGGCACCTTTATAGTCTCTGAGGCTCAAATCCCTTTGAACATGCAACAGAGATCTGCATTCACAATTAAACTTAATTGACCAATAATCTCTTATTCTGATTCCCAGCCCTCTTTTCTTCTCTCTTTCTTACCCCCAACATCTATTCAATTCCACCTCTCATAAATGAATAGTGGATAGCTTTTACTAAAATGCATTAAGATGTTGAAAATAAGAATTTAAATTAAATTTAACAGGCAGTTCTGGTAGGTGAAATTACTGCACTAATTGATCAGTAAAGGCCCAACTCTGCCACCCTTACTCATACTGAATGAACTCCTTGCAGGTTATAGTACTACTCAGCATAAGGGTAGCACAATCTGTCCCTGTGGGTACTATCCAGTTCTCATAAATGCCAATGAGAGCTTCTCAACTGAGAGCTAGATAAGGCCCTAAAACTTTCTGTCACAACTATGTTAAACTTCATAATTTAACCACAACAATAATACATTAACTATATAATAACCACAGTAATATGTTTACACAATGAACAATAGGGAGTGTTCCAGGCATGGATCCTGCCACACCTTGAGTGGGTTGTTAGTCATGAGGCCAAAGGCAGAGCAATGCAACTCCCCAAGAAGCCGTAGTATGTCTAAAGTTACCATGTACAATTATTTATTATGACATTGCCTTTAAAAAGCTCTTAAATAATTTGATCAAAATTGTAATAAATCCTTGTGAAAAAAGTTTCATATTTTCAATTCTGTAAATAGAAAAAAAATGTTAAAATCATTACTTTAATAGTCAAGTCAAAGTGCTTCACACACATTGCTAAAATTGGCCTCTCTACACTCTTGGGAGGACTGGGGGAGGTAATAATTGTCCCTATTTACTAGCTGGGAAACTGACGCACAGATAGGTTAAGGCCAAAATTTTCAGAAGTGGCTGCTGGTTTTGGGAGCCTCCGTTTTTGGAAGCCCAACTTAAGATACCTCAGGCCTGACTCTCAGAAAGTACTGAACACTCACAACACCCACTGACCTCACTTGTAGTTGTGGGTGCCCTGCACTTTCAAGCCCTATCGGTCTCAAGATGAGCACACCAAGAATGGAGGCAGACAAATTAGTAGCCACTTTGGAAAATTTGGTGGTAAGTTACTAGCTCAAAGTCACACAGCAAGTCAGTAACAGAGTCAGGAATGAAATCCAGGAATCCTGACTCCTGTCCCCTACTTTGATCACTCAACTTATCTTAAATAAAAATAAAAACTTTACAAAAATCTTTATTTTACATGTTTTAAGTGGCTTCCTACTCCCAAGACTTTCCCCAAGTCCTTTCTTTCTCCGCTTTTTCCACCCTAGCCACCACTCGAGGACTTTCTTTTTCATTTAATTTTTACTAGATGCTGAGTCGGAAGCAGCATGTGGCATCAGAATCATCTCTGTTGTTGGGGTGTGGAAGTGGGAGTAAAAGGCAGGCCTACCCTCATGCTACGGGCTGCTGAGGGATGTGTCCCAGCAGTGGTTTCAACATACTATTTCTGTCAGAACCAAGTATCTCATCAGGGCTTCAGAGAGATGCTTCAAACACGAAGGGCAGCCCACACTAGTCCCAGTTCAACTTTTTTAAAAAATTAAATGAAAAACAGCTCTCACTTAAGCCTTGTTAAGAAACAGAGATAAATAAGGAGGAGGGAGAGCTGGAAGGAATCTTGAGAGCAAAGTTGGGCAAGAGGAGTGGCAAAGATGATAAGAATAAGAACTAATCTCTAAAGCTAGGGAAGGGATGATATATGAAAAGAGCACAATAAATTAGAGTAAGGACAAAGGGATTGAGAAGAGATTTGAGGATGTGGATGAAAATATATGTACTGCCTGGTGCTGAGTAAGTTTGTTCACAACATGAAAGCTCATAGATAAAGGAAAATGAAGAGGTTTAGTAAATGCAATTACAGGTAATCTTTAGTAGATAATCCTGCATTTTGACATTGTTTATAGAGGAATGTTGATATTACCTGTGATGCAGTTTAGCAAATAAAAGCAGCTCTGACATACGGTACTATCCCAGAAGAATGCTCTGCCATTTAACTAATCAGAATGCAATATTTTCTAATACTACTTCATTATAAATAGCAGTGAGGAAATTTCTTTAGAACACTGAACACAAATGAAGCTCTCAGTGACAGGAAACTCCGATCACTAATGCTAGGCATGGGAGTCTCTGTAAACCAGTGGATGGAGCACTGGCCTCAGAGTCAGGAGACCTGGGTTCTATTGCTTGTTGTGTGACCTTGGGCAAGTCACTTGTAGAAAGAAAGCCCTTCCAGAATAATTATGGTAACCAATCAAAGCCTGAGAATGTTGCAAAAACACTGGGGCCTATGTCCTGTTATAGGGGAAATGCTTTATATACTGTATATAGCAGTATTTGACTACAAACTACTTGACATACTGGGTACTGTTGGTTAACTAGTTCCAAGAGTTGAACTGTCTCTTCAGAATGGATCAGTCACTATAAAAGGCTATAGAGTGTTCCCCCTTCTCTTCCCAAATTCATTTTTCAGTTCAGACTTTCAGTTCACACTGAAGTGAGGCAACAACTTGGTCCACACCTTAGCAAGAATATACAAGTTACTGATTGTCATTTTAGATAATATGTTGGTTCATCTGGACAAAATCTGTAAGAGTCTAAATTCAAATCTGTATGAAAATGAGGTTTTCTATTGCAAATGAAAAGAAATAGTGCCATCTGCTGGGATTGGTATTATTTGAGTTATGACTGCTCATATTTTGTTTATTTAAAGTCCAGAATCTGTTTATTCAATTTCTTAACAAGTCAGACTTTGAGATGATGTTATTCCTTACAATTTCAATCACTTAAAATAATTCATTTGATCAAGCCGTTTGCAGCTCTATCTGGGAAGAGACGTTTTCCCTTGCTATGTATCTGACTAATGAGAAACCATCAGAAATATCACGGTTCACTGGACAGAACACAAACATACTGAATTACTGTTGTATTATGATATTAAAAATTGTGGTTCTCTGCATTTAATTATAAAAAAGAAAAACTTAAAGTGACATGTCAGTCCCTAAAACCAGACAGCATATTGCTGAGGAACCATTCACTATCAGAAAAGGCATTTATTCATTATTACAGTGGTTCGGTTTACTGAAATAGGCTGAAAGAAATCAAACCTTTAAACAGATATTTCACAGGTTTCTGTATATGCAATCTTCACATAAAATGTTTTTAAGGTCTCATTTTTTAAAAAAAATTCCAACATACCAGGCTGAATTGTTTGTTTTTTCATAATATCACTAGCTCTTTTTGAATTTAAGTGCAATCTGCAAAATTTAGTTTAACAATAAAACTATTTTATTAGTTATAGAAGGAAAAGAGGACCTGAATTTGCAATCATCTATTTTTAATGCTTCTAAAATTATCCAACGAGGAAAAGGACATTTTTTTTTTTTAAAGACAGAAAGAGAAACTAAAAACCAAATACATGCTCCTCAATAAAGGATTTTTTCCCACTTTTTAGGACAGAGCAGATAAGTTATAAGTTCTGTTTTTCATAATGGTAATAATAAAACCAAGCTAGTGGGTTACATTAATATATATTTTTAATATAAATCTGCAAACTATACCTTTAAATATCATAAGGCAGCTATGTGAATTAATAAAAATGAATCTCTGAACACGTCCGTGGCCATAAAATTCTCCCTAAATCAGATGTTAGAGTCATGGGTGCTTGGTTTTTTTGTTTTCAATTTTTGCACTGAGCTTCTTTGTCATTTTGAAGTGAAATAATTTGCCTACTCATGCTCACAAACCAGAACCTACTACACAATGACAGAGCTTGTAACCAGGACATCACTTACAATATTTGATTCTCTGTTAAAAACACATTTTCCAAACACCCTTTATTTCCTAGGCTAGTCAAGGATCTTACTAAAAAAGCACTAGTGGAAAGAGGGTCACTTCTGAAACTGGGTAGATAAACCCTGACTGTGTCTTATTTTGTTTACAGTTAAAATAGTTTAAAGTTAAAATAAAAACATTTTGAGCCTGAGAATACATAGGTAGGAAGCCACATTACTAAAACGAATGGAAAACTCTGCAGATTAGTGATCAGACAAACAACATCATCCTAATAATCCACAATAATCCACACTGAAATTAGGCCATGTATCATAGGAAAACTGATTTATGCAGCTTTACCTGTCCCTGGAACAGAATTTCAGTCACATTCAAGGGCATGGGCACTGATTTGCTGCCTGACTGAGCTTGATGCAATGTGAAAATCCTTCCAAAGCTAATTAAACCAAATGAAATCAACACATGCTTATCCAATAATCGTGACCTTAAGGCAAGCAATAATGAATGTATGATTGCCCCCTAAATCCTCGTGTCATCAAGAGGACTGGCAGGTTTTCTAGGCTCTTTCCCTCCCTCCCTACTTCCCTCCCTCCAGCGCCCCCTTGAAACATATACAAAAAAAGTAATTACTATGTGGCCCCTTTCATGCTTTAAATGGGGTTAGAGCTACAAAATGTTATAGTAAAATCTTGATCCACAGAGCAGGCTAGTCAAAGAAAACAAGAAATAAAGAAAGGCATCTAGTAATTAACATTTTGTGGGCAAATCCTTATAGATCAGGGGTCAGCAACCTTTCAGAAGTGGTGTGCCGAGTCTTCATTTATTCACTCTAATTTAAGGTTTCGCGTGCCAGTAATACATTTTAATGTTTTTAGAAAGTCTCTTTCTATAAGTCTATAATATATAACTAAACTATTGTGGTATAAAGTAAACAAGGTTTTTAAAATGTTTAAGAAGCTACATTTAAAAATAAATTAAAATGCAGAGCCCCCCGGACCAGTGGCCATGACCCAGGCAGGGAGAGTGCCACTGAAAATCAGTTTGCGTGCCGCCTTTGGCACGCATGCCATAGGTTGCCTACCCCAGTTATAGATTATGATAGTATATTTCAGGTGCTTTAGTCCTGAAAAAATTTTTAAAATCAAAACAGGTTCAAAGTGAAAAGGCTGCTATAATACGGATGTGCATTAAGTACTTCTAATGTGGCATATAATTTGTATTCTGTCAAATGCCATATTTTCATACTCTATTTTAATGTAGCCTGTTATGAGATAATGAAGAATGTTCTCACCTCAGCAAACAAAACCAAATGCTGTCTTTATAAGTGGAAAAAAGTACTACAAAGAGGAGTGAACAAGGAGCATGTGTAACAATAACTATACCTGTTTAAGAAACTTGTTGGATGCTTGGCTGTGCTTAGCTAACACATTTGGCAACGCAGGATTTGCATATTCAAATTGAGGATTATAGGTAAAATCGGACTTGAAGAATTTAATCTTCTCTTTTTCCACATTGGAAGGCTTGATGGCAGTTAGTATACAGAGTTTTCGGCCAGAGACATCTACCTCTTTACCATGGCTTTTTGACAATTGAGGCTGCTTTGGCTTTGTTAGACTAGAAAAATAATGTCTCTTAGCCTTGCTTTTGGGTCGAGGTGGCAGTCCTATGCTGTTCCCGGCAACAGAAATACTGTGTGTAAACTTTGCACTGCTAGACACTGGGCTAGCGATAAAGATGGATGGCTGCCTGTTCATGCAATACCAGCCACTGCTGAGCAAAGGCAGTGGGACTTTGATCTTGCGGTGCTCGTTGCTTCGCGAGGTAGTAGAAGACTTGGTGGAATTTCTGTGCCTCTTGTGGTAGGCAGATGACAGCTTTCGAGAGTGGTGTTTTTTCTCCTCTTTGCTTTGCAGAAGGACATTGTAGCTACTGGTTCCTGTTGTGAAAATATCCTTAAGGATTCCAGAGGACTGGTGCTGAAGACTGCTTTCATTCTGAATGGTCAGCTTATGTTCTTCTGGATTTAAGACTGACTTTTTAGAGAGCTCTTGCTCAGGCCAGTGAAGCTTTTCTGCATTTAAAAAAAAAAAGAAAACAGAAAGCTAGAACAAATCTGACTGTTCTGTAATGACACAATAAACAATATACAATTCTTAGGACCTAACCGAATAACAAGTATGAAACACAGAATCTGAATACTAAATAACTTTACATGACTACAACTACCTTACGACAATCTTGATTTTAAGATAAAACGAAACAGGCATTTCTCTCTCTGTGCGTATGTGTGTGTGTGCATGCGCACGCATGTTTGTGTGTGTGAGCATGCATGTATTGTTAAACAAGCTAGATGTGGAATTTCAGGCCTAATTTGCACAAGCAACCATCAGCGCCAACTTTCCCCGGCGCTGGTGGGGGCTCACGCCCCTGGCCCTGCCCCGACTCCATCCTTTCCCCACCCCTGCCCTGCCCCCCATTCCAACCCCTTCCCCAAATCCACATCCCGTCTCTGCCTCTTCCCTGAGCGTGCCACGTTCCCCTCCTCCCTCTCCTTCCCTGCCGCGCGAAACAGCTGTTTCGCGGCGCAAGCGCTGGGAGGGAGGGGGAAAAAGTGGGCACGCAGCACACAGAGGCGGGTGGAGGCAGAGGTGAGCTGGAGCAGGGGGGGAGAGGGCGGGGAGCTGCCGGTGGGTGCAGAGCATCCACCAATTTTTCTCTGTGGTGCTCCAGCCCCGGAACACCCACAGAGTCGGCACCTATGCAAGCAACTATGCCCATCTCCATCTCCATCTGTCTAATATGGGTGTACAAACTCAGGTTACCTCCACACTACCCTCCGGATTGGCGGGTAGCGATCGATCTATCGGGGATCGATTTATCGCGTGTAGACGCGATAAATCGATCCCCGATCGCTCTCCCGTCGACTGCTGAACTCCAGCTCGGCAAGAGGCGGAAGCAAAGTCGACGAGGGAGCCACGGCCGTCGATCCCGCGCCACGAGGATGCGAAGTAAGTAATTCTAAGTCGATCTAAAATACGTCGACTTCAGCTACGCTATTCTCGTAGCTGAAGTTGCGTATCTTAGATCGACCCCCCCCAGTGTAGACCAGGCCTCAGTGCACATCTCAGCAACTACCATGTTTAAATTCAGGTGCTGTGCATGTGTATACACATTTAAATAGTTCAGTTATGTAATCAGCTTTTCTACTTGTGTTTATTTTGAAGCAAATTATGATTATCTTTAAAGATTCTTTCAAAAAGTAATTGCTGTTTACAAATATTGTGATCCTTGAATTATACAAGCAGTAAGGGGCAGTGTATAGGTGCACCTCACCAAAAGTAAGACATGCCCTCAGAAACTCTCCTCTTAGGCTATGTCTACACATAGGGCAGCATGTAGAGTACATACACTGTACGCCCCACTAGCATGGCTACAAATAGCAGTGAGGCACAGCTTAAGCAAGTAAAATAAAGACACACCAGAACCTTGAGCTATATACCCCTTCCTGGCTCTCTACATGTCCTAGCAGTACCTCTCCTGTCTACACTGCTATCTTTAGCCATGTAGTGTCCCGCTGACTCCCCACTGCTGGAGCCTTTTCCCAACATAGGGAGCTGCCAGAGCGAAAGACTCAGCAGTGGGCAGACGCTCTGGCAGGCAAGAGGCAGAGGGGAAAGGCCCCTGCCAGAACCTTTCACTGTCGCTTTTAGCTACACATTGCCATATGGCTGCTGTCTGCTTTTCACTGTGGCATGTAACTACATGTACCCTACATGTCACTGGCAGTGTAGACAAGACCTTAGACACAGTTCCTCAGGGACTCCTCTGTTGTGCTGGAGAGGAAAATAACGTGTAAAGTCCTTTAAGAGTGTGATTTATTCTCCCACGTGCATCTAGTCTGCTCTGCGAGACATTGAATAGTAGGGGCAGAACCACAGATCTCATCTACCCGCTACTCTCAGCCCAGTTGCTCCTGGTGTGAGAAAGCCACAAGTGCCAGGGCTGCAATGCAAGCAGCCCTAATGTTACCACACAATGGAGTGAGGGGTGCCTTAGTACTCCCTTTTCCACTGAGCAGCTGTGTTAGGCCTGCTAGCAATCTAGCCTATAAATAAGCCCCTTCGTTTTCAGTTTAAACCGATTTTGACTGAAAAAATCCCACATTTTACAAAAAGTATTATTTGTTTTTTTTCTGATTTTTCACTCTACTTTTGTATCATTCAAATATATACAAAAATAACTTGTTTTAGCAGGAAAATACAATACATTGCATGAAATATATGTATTATGATAATACATTCGTCTGTATGTATATGCAAAGCTACCTGTTGAAGTAAGGCTACATGTATTAGTCTGGAAGGTACATACAATAAACAAACAGGCACGCATGCAAGCTCTGAAGTGCATGCACATCTGAACATACTGATGAACCTCACACCCATCACGTACACATTTCAAGCTGTTAACAGATAACGGTTTAAATATTTGACACACTAAAATGAGAAGAAAACAAAAATCTGTATTAGAATACCTTTCAGAACACAAGGAAGTATTTGAAATTAAAAAAAAAAAAAAAAAAAAAAACAGGAGAAAAGGATGAACTTGAGTGTATGTGCTGCAAATGGTGTGGCTCAATTATTAAATGCAAATATTTAGAGGCTGATAGTTCTAAGTCTACAGCAGTAAACTGTTTATTCAAATGAACGTTTTTATTTGGGGATTCGAGATGCATTGCTTTTTAAAGTCAGAGGTGGCATTGTGTTTTTAGTTCTGTTTTAGTTCTGCAGCAAACCACATTGAATTCCATTAATCAGAGCATTAATCTACTGAATACTTCCCCCCGTCCTTCTGTCTACCAAAATAAACCCCAATATTTACCCAGAAAAAAATACTAATAGTTTTTTTCCACCAATTTTCACCTGTTTTTATTGTTGTAGTAATAAACACCAATAAATTCCTGGCAAAAATTAAAATAACCAAAACCGAAGTGCCCTACCTATAAAGAAACTGTCCCTCTCCAGAAAACTCCCCAGAATAAGCACCCAGAGAGGTGAGGAATATCTAGGATGTGCCAGCCCCTGCGAACAAATTTCAACTCGACAAAAATGGTAGGGTATATTCAGGTATTTAGTATGTTTCCCCAAACTCACATTTTTAGTTGCCAGGCAGTTTATCAGCTATCACTTAAATTAAGACTATTAAGAAAAGAGAGCAATTAGTACCAAAGCCATTTCTAAGGAAGTTAACCCCATATTTTCAAAACATCTACTCAAAGCTGTACAATATCAACACTCAGCTGGGTTTAAAAAAATGTACTTTAAAGTATAAACATGACAAACTAAACTAAATTCATCAAGCAAATAAAGTTCCTTAAGGACTGTGTAGCAAAGAAGTGTGGCCTCCCTCGGAGATTGACAGCGAGGGAGGGCCACACACACCCTGGTGGGCGGAACCAGGAAGTCCACACCAGAAGCAGAGAGGCGGGACAAGAACAGGAAGTATAAAAGGCGGGCCTTGTAGCTCAGTTGAATGGGAACTGTTGAGGGAGATAGATATGCCCTGCTTGCTGCTGGAGCCTGAGCCTGCAGGAGACTTCTGTGCAGGAGGCCCCTGACCTATCCGAACAGCCAGACATGCCTGACACCCAGGAGTTGCTGGGACTGCTGCTTGCAGTGTACCCTGGGGAGATGGAGGATGACCCTTGGATGCAGGTATGCCTAATGGGGAGTACAGGAAGCAGCCCAGGGGAACCAGATTACTGTCTGGCTGTGGTGCCGCTGGAGACACAGTCAGTGTTTTGTGGATGGAGTCCTTGCTGACCTGGTGACAGACCACTCTGCCCTGGGCTGGGATGTGGTGGAGCTGAGTAGGCACATGTCTCCCTTGCCACCCCACCTGGGGGGGGGAGCAGTACTCCCCCTCCTTAGGCTGGGAGGCCTGTGCTCCTCAGACACCCTTGCCTGAGCCCCATAAACTCTGCTTGGTGCTCCTCCCTTGCCAGAGCCCATAGACTGTGGTTGGTGCTTGCCCCTTGTGTGGGCCCCTTGTCCAGTTGGTGCTTGCCCCTGCCTGAGGGCTAGAGTACTAGACTGCAAGGTGCCTTGCCCTGCCCAGGGGCCTGGGTCCCTGCACTGTCCCTAAATACTTTACCCTGCTTGAGGGTGGGAACTCAAACGGTTTAGAGCCACGCCTCACCTAAGGGCTCGGGCCCTGGAATCATTTGCTGCTCTCCCTTTCCTGAGGGTTGAGCCCAAGAGACTGCTAATTTCCTCCCTTTGATAGACTGCTACTCCAGGAGCGTGACAGCAAAGAGGTGTGGCCTCCCTCAGAGATTGACAGCAAAAGATGGCCACACACCCCTACATGCCTAGAGACTGTGTTAAATCCACTTTCACTAAGAGAGTCCCTTGTCCCCTTGCTGGGCTGTGTGGCAGGGCAGCTCTACTGGCTTGGAGCCCTGCTGGCTTCAACTCTGCAGATGGTTCCTTCCCCTGTGACATCCCTCAGAGAGGAGGGAATCTCTACAGTGCCAAGCAGCTGCACATAAAAGTTAATACAGTCTCCATCCATATGTAGCATCTGTGCTGATTCCTTGTGGAGTTAGTTCACTGGCCCTATCCACTCCTCCCAAGCAGATCCTCAGCACTACAGGTGGGCTTCTGCAGGGCCTAACGGACTAAGAGGGTAGGTTGCCAATTTTGGTTGGATGCATTCCTGGAGGTTTCATCACATGACAGACAATCCCAGACGGTCGGCAACCCTTTAACAGGGGAATGATGCCCTAGATACACATTTCCCATTTCTGTGCCTAAATTATAAGGATCCATGGAATGGAGGATATGGCCCTGAGTATGCACAGAGTTAAACTTAGTAAAAACCTCGGGACTTGGTCCAGCGTTAGACATATCCAAGCTGTAATTAACTACATAAACAATAATTATGCTCTAAATAGAACATTAACAAAGGGATCATTAAATCCCTCAAAGGTAACTGAATCAATTTAATTCCAGATTTATTTTCCTACTAAAATTAGACTTGGCTCTCAGAACAAATGAGACAAAAAATAACACC